CACGGGCTCACTGGCTTACAACCTTGGCGAATTCATATGCAGGCCTGGTCGCAAATCAATCACCCAGATTAATTGATAATGTATTTATTCGCTGATGGAATGTTTGGCTGACTGACGAAATGATTGTCAATTCATTAAGCAATGATGCACCTAATTGAAAAACCTAATCGGGCTTTAGAAAGAAAGCTAAGATGGAAAAGCAAATATTATGAGCAGTGCCAGATTGTCTAAATAAATAAAACATACCTCTAGACGAAGTTTATTATTCATTACGTCCCCTTACTAAACCAATTATTTCAGAAAAAAATGTTTTGTACGGTTATCCCACRTAAATCCAATTTATGATTATTTTTCCTTCCTTGATAGACAATGGCCCATGCAGTTTACGTGTTCGATATAGATCACGTGATTATTGACAACTTGCAGTTTATGACATCAGGCATTAGGTATGAAGWCAGAAAAATCAGTATTTTGTAAGCCTTATAAAAATKACCACTMATCAGAAAGYACRATATATATCTTTTCGAAATGGAATATTCTAGTTTCTGYTATKTGGTATCATCAAGCATTCTTAYACCAGAGCACTTCAAATGAAAAGCGACTAAACATTCYCAACTRTTTTMCAGATCTGAGGATAGATTCTCTATTCAAAACCACGCCATATCGTGTTTGAGAGACTTCGCCAGCTCGAAGAATGTCCACGTGACTTTAGTCATTCATCCAAGAAAGGTATTTCACTCATCATGGATCTTCTTTGCGTAATGTTTCGTCCTGTATTAAGTGATATTTGTCACGCAACTCACGGCATTTCCTTGTACAGGAAAATGATGACGTRGAACTACAGACTGCTTCCATATTTGGTACGGCTAAGGCCAGTCAGGAAGCAGACAACGTGTTGATTCTGCAGGACAAAAAAGGACGAGGAGARAAATACTTGCAGGTTAGAGCACTCCGTTATTGTCGGAATATCTTTGGCTCACTAGGCCGTGAAGAACCTTAGAACCGAAGAACCTTGTAAATATATTTTATTTATGAGAGACAAATCGATCCAGCGGAGATTTTTTTTCGAATTATGTTGTGTTTTTGTTGCATTAGGTCACAAAGAACCGTTTTGATGGAAGTGTGGGCCGAGTCCCACTCGAGTTCGTCAAGGRTTCACTATCAATGTGTGGCTTTGGTAAAAAGGATAACAAGCTACAAAAGACCTTCAAAGGATCAAAGGTCGTGTCAGATGTAGATATGATTAACATCCCAAGCACATTACCATTACARAAGGCACGAGTAAGGACATACTCCCCCGGAAATGCWGTATCGGGTARTGGAATCACAGAGGATGACAAAATGAAAATATCAAACTTTTATAACAATAAGATGGAAGGTGTCAAAAAGTTTCAAGAAAATGTATCTGAATCCATTAGGTCTCAGAGTCTAAGACAAAAGCCTCCCTTGGCCTGGTCGGGTAAGGTAAATAGCGATCCCCAAAAGCTAGACGCCAAAAGGTTGTATTCGAAAACTGTAGCATCATTAGTTGCTAAGCACGTGAATCGGAACAGTGTCCAAACGAAGAAAATGGCTTCTTCTCAAGGAAAACAGAAACCAGCGATAAAATCAAAGAAATGACAAAACTACAAACGGCATGAAGAAGGTCTGATGTCAAAAGATGATAACAACCCAAAACTAATGATTTGTCACATTGCACAAGACTTATGATTAAAGAGAAAACAATTGCATCGTGATTTTGAAGTTTTGAAGTTAGAGTGAAGTCCGACATGGAGCACGTTTGCTTCTGCAGCAACAAATTGTAATATGAAACTTATATCAATGTATGGATCATTTGCAGCATAATGTATTAATATATTTTCTCAAGCATTTTTATGGACTATTTCTAACAAATAAATATATGTAACTGAAATTCCTCTTTTCTCCGCAAATAGTTTTTCAACAGTTGCACACACATTACAGGATTCACATATGAATTTTTGAGCAGTGTTGCGTTGATCCGAAACTTTTTTAACGAAACCTCTCTATTTCGTTCACTTTAAAAAAAGTGGAAAATAGGAAATACAGTGTGTGTTAAATTGGAAGCTATCTTTTTTTTTCCTTTGGAAGCTTTCATGTGTCCGTTGAAATTCTTAATTTCTATTTTGTATCTAATAAGTACTGGTTTGTCCGCAAATCCCTTAATATCTGAGACATTGTCACGGATAACCTAACAAAGCTGTCAAAGTTTCAATAGATTTCTTGTGACCTCATGCTCGTCATTAGAATATTAATTTTCAATTAAAAGACTTTTTATCTGTAAATTAAACAGCTTTTCTTTTCGTTATTGTACCAATAGAAGGGTGATTACTTGTCCCTTCCGATTCTGCTATAATGCTCTGCCACCTTGAAGCCCACTTATTTTGGATGTGACAATGACACCGTCTATACTAGTATGTATAGCTCTGTCCAAGGTGTTCCACAATTTGAGAATACTCTTTTAAGTTATTAGGAGCTATTTCTATGCAATTCCAAAGCTATTTTTATACGCATGTCAACTGTAATACAGCAAGCACCGAAACTTGCTTTTTGGTTAATCCTTTTAAGGAAAGTACAACACCTCTCTTGGTAGCATAGGTGTTGATTATTTGTTGGGAAGTCTTCATCTATTGTTTGTCCATTGTACCTATAATGAGATTTGTTTCGATCGAAGCTTACTGTCCCCGCACTACCGTGCTACCAATTTGCAGCGACAAAGGAACCTCGATAACATTCAGAAGTTCAATGTTATTTTCTTTTTGTGATGATATCACATTCTCAGAACTGGAGACCAGAATTGTCAGAGAATTGTGATTTATTACGGAAGAAATTTCAGACATTTCGTACATCGGTCCAAGAACTAGCGCTTTGTATACTGCCAATAAACTCGTTATTAAACCCAAGATGGCCAGATTGAGAAGGACATAGTTAAACGCGGTTTTCTTGACGAATTTTGATTTCAGTATGATATGACAAACTAAAGAATTGCCAATGATAGCAGCAGAACCCACGAGCATTGTCAGTATATATGCAAACATGGTGCTTGCGATTTTCTGCCCGAAACTGATGTTTAAGATGAAGAATTCCTGATATCAGGACCTTTAAATGAACAATAAGAAAAAGGGACAACTGAAGGCTTTCGGTCTTTGTTCAGAAATGCTATAGGCAATCACAGATTAAAGCTTTTTGTATTATCTTTTTTAGTTCAAATCATTCAAATTAAAATGAGAATCAAAGGCTCCACGAGAATTAGCAAAATTTCCATCAATAAGGTTCATGATTGTTTTTCTATTTCGGAAAGGTTTGCTGATGAAAAGTGCTTAATCTTGATCAGATGTTGCTGTATTGTTTTTCTGTCAATTTGTTTATTTTATGTTCCTTTTAGTTTTACTTTTCGACCATGAATCTTGTAGGAAAAAAGTCATAATAAGCGATAATAGATAGACGTTATTTCCAATGAATAGAGCAGAAGAAGCCGGAAACATCTGTTGTAGTGCGAATTAATTGGAGAATCTTTGAATTGTGATCCTGAACTAGCGCTATAGAGAAAATCAATGGCATTAAATATTTTTTTGAATTCTTTATGTGCAAAGCTACATATACAACCGCAGCTAAGAAATGAGGTCTAAGTGAACTAGTGAATGCTGATCAAGTTTCTCTGGTCAGTCTGGTGTCAAGGTTAGTAACTCAATTCGATGTCTATACTAGTATCCACAAGAGTTTGAGCTAAAGCGATTAATCTGCAAAGTTAAATTGCCAAGGAAAATGCATCAATCTTATAACTTTGTTTACAATTGGCTTCTACTGTACCCTTTAATTTTGTCAAGTTGTCTATATTTCCCATCAAACTTTGGGACAGTTCATTTCGAGGCTTACGTTCGTTTTTAATAACACTAAAATCAGTCAATCATCTACGAACTCTTTCTAACATTGTTTTTGATATTACAATAGTCAAGTTTCCCGCCTGCGGGTTAGGGCTAAGCAACCTCAGTATTCCAAACAATACAACAATTTTATTGTAAGTAATATGTGGAAACTTAGTTGCGAAAAAGCATGTGCGCAAATCAAATTAACAACCTAAAAACTTACGATAGCTTTGTTAAGACCTCCAACCCACCACACCTCCTGTTGCCCTTGACGGATGCCTCTTTTGATGTCCTTGGTGACGTCGTAGTAGAACACTGACATACATACTACAGTACGAACAAGGAAACATCGCAACAACTGTTATGTAATACCGTATGGTAAATTTGTGCGATTGACATTGTGCAAGAATTGTCCTGAATGTTTTTGTGTAAGCTTTGAAGAGTTAAATTTGACAACACAGTTACTCCCTAGACGAAATTGTTTGAATCAATCAATAAAATCAAATATTATTTCATAAGTAATTCATTGTATAAAAAGAGGATAACCTTGTGAATATTTTTTGGTGTACCCTGAACCGAGTCATTGTTTCCCTATTGAATATTTAAGAAATTTTTCACGGTTTTGAGTTTAATGTTCTCTTATTGTATTATTGACACACTCTTGACGTGGCTTCTTCCAGTGCATCTGAACCCAATTCATCAGGCTCTTTCTTTTCTGCCTCGGCCATGGCATCTAATAATATGTACTTAAGTAGACCAACGAGCAGAGCTCCCAGCTTGTAGAATCCAAATCTAGTCCTGCTATGTCAAWCTTAAAGTCCACATGATGCCTTTCAGAAAATCAATTATCCATAAGAGAGCATGATGTTCACCCTTTAGAACGATTTCACATAAGCGTTTTTTATATGCTAATGAGTTTTTAATATGCAAATCAAGTTATCACCTGATTTGTTGAGCTGTCACCTTGGTAAACAAGGTATTCGCATAGTGTATTATTCTGCCTCAGTTTATTGTCTTCTAAGGTATGGGCGCAGCTCCGACCGAACTTTTTATTTCGGTACGGAGTGTGAGGCAGGATAATGTGTGGCACAAATCAACCGACTTTTGTGTGGGTGGGTGGGTGGGTTCTAAGCATTCCGTTTGAGCTTTTTGTGAAAGTGACACTTTCGGCTCTTGTTTTTGTATTATATATACTACGCTTGACCAATGGTTGTTCATTCTATGTCCCATGGGGACCTTAACCCGTGAAGAATGCAGAATATATTATTAATTTCGGCAGATCATACATATGCTAATGAATTTGCATATGTAACTATTTTAAAGATAGCCTTAGTAGAGATGAGCTGTTCCAAGGAATGTTGACATGCAAACAAATATTCTAAACATATTTATTCATTTTAGCTTAAGAAATTAAGGAGAGTATTATGCTTATGAGAACTTCGTACTCTAAATGTAATACTTATTGACCTCAGTAGATTTTGTTCCGTTGGACGGAGCTATTTTAATCTTTAAATGTCATTTGATTTAAATTTAACTGAAAGCTTGTTGAACTTGTCGGCAAAAATAGTCTACATAAGCTTACACAATAATCATTCTGATAAAACGCGGCAAAGTTCGATGTTTTAACCGTTCCCTTCTCGAACTTCACATCACAGAAAACTGTATAAGTTACAAAAATATATAATATATTTTTACTTTTATTATTCAAACTTCCGATAAATTATCGTTCAATGGACATCTTCAACAGAACCATACTTGTTTCAAGCAAGGGTTTCATCAATTTACAAAGTCATTCAAGGCTCAATGTAATTTTGTTGATTCTCTGTGTTTTAAAATCAATCGAGTTCTGCTGATGTTCTTGGTTTCAGCGAAATCTCCACACTTCTTGGCAAACAAAGTGCACACAGATTGTTGCATTAATTGCTTTTCCTCATATTTTCAATATAGCATCATATTTTTCGTGTTGTCTACATTTCAATGCGAAAAGTCATCCTGTCATTCATAGAAACTGAGAATCAAAGCGCTTGACGAAAGTAAATTGTTTTTCATCTTCGCAAATCGATTTCCCGGATGACAAAATTGGCGGGAATATTTCTGTGCGTTAATTTCGCTCTCCTCCGGATTTTTTTCTTGTGATTGCTTTTTCTAATATTATCAATTTGGAAGATAAGTGTTTGAGAAAAAAAATTCGATGTTTCAACAAATATTTTGGCGCTTTTGGAGCATGGTTTTCCTGTGGTGGTACACGGCGCCCGGACGAAAAAAAAAAAAACGTGCGTACGCGCGGGAAGAAAGTTCATCGTCATCGCACGTCAACTGCACGAGAGGCCTTTGATCCCTTCTCTGTCAAAAACGGAGTGAAACAAGGCTGTGTTCTTGCTCCCACACTAGTCAGTATCATATGTTTTTAGCCATGCTAACGGATGCCTTCAGAGATGCTGAAGTAGGCATCGGTATCAAGTACAGGACAGATGGCTCAATCTTCAACCTCAGGAGGCTTCAAGTAAAAACCAAGGTTTCCACGGACACCATCAATGACTTCCTGTTCGCCGATGAGTGCGCGCTGAACGCTGCCGCAGAGGCTAGCATGCAACACATCGTTGACAAGCTCTCTGATGCCTGCAACAACTTTGGCCTTACCATCAGCACCACGAAGAAGTCTGAGGTAATGCATCAGCCAGCTCTAAGAAGCCATATGCTGAACCTGACATGTATATCAACGGGCAGAAACTGAATGCGGTGGACAAGTTCACTTGCGTAGCACACTCTCCAGGAACGTCATCATTTATGATGGAGTCAGCGCCAGACTCGCGAAAGCAAGTGCCGCTTTTGGCAGACTGCACAAGAAGGTCTGGAACAGGAGAGGGATCACAACTGAGACAAAGATCAAGGTATACCGGGACGTCATTCTCACTACGTTACTATACGGATGTGAAACGTGGACAATCTATCAGCGTCATGCCAAGAAGTTGAACCATTTTCACACCAAGCGCCTCAGGAAACTTCTG